GGCCCTACACTTCCCGTGTGTCCCTGGGCAAGTTATTTAGCCTTGCTGGGCCTCTGTCTTCTCATCTGTAAAATGGGAATAATCATAGTGTGCACAAGAATTTAATGAGCCTCCATAATAAGATGGACCCTGGGTTCAAGTTCTGCCTCAGCCCCTAAATAGCTGTGTGATCTTGAACCAATAAAATATCTGAGTCTCAGCTGTCTCATCTACCAGAGGGGGTTAATAATGATACCCATTGCATTAGAGGGTCCTGAAGATGATGTCTGCAGAATGCCTGGCAAAAAGAAGCCATTTGGGCGCCTGGGTGGCTCAGCTGGGGGGCTGGGGGTAACTAGCCAATCGGACAGGCCAGGAGGGGCTGAGCAAAGGGGGAGGCCAGGGGCAGGGTGCCAACGAGGGTGGAAATGGAGGGGGACAGGGAAAGCTGGGTGAGAGAGAGCAGTAGGCTGTTTCAGTCTGTTGGAAAATAAGAAAATTGAGACAAAAATATCACAGCCGTGAAACTGGTTGGATGCCAAATGAGCCAGATCTGTCAGGAATTCGACCCCAGTGCTAAGCCCCAGTGCTCGGGGCTGTCATTGACACCGTGGCGGTGGGGACATGTGGGTCTTTAAATAGCTCGGTGTCTCAGAAGTGGGGGAGGCAGAATGTTAAATATGACGCCTGCTGCCATCCTGCCCCCCCGCTCCGAGAGGCCACAATGTCTCACCCCTGCCTTGGGCAGGGCAATCCTGCCCCACTTCACCCCTGAGAGAGAATAGAGGAAAAGGCGGATGGAGATGGGAAGAAGGTGGCTTTTCCACCATCAAAAAAGGATTCCTTGATTTCCTACCATTGCCTGTTCCACTGGCTCTTGTCTGACCAGTGGGAAGTCCCTCCTGAAGTCTAACCATCATTCTGCTGCAGGCTCAACCTGTCTCTTCTTGTGGTTTCCGCGGCAGAAGCAGAGCACAGTCAGTGCCCACCTCTGGGCTCTCCCGGCACCCTCACTCTCTCACCTCTACTTCTGAGGACCTTTCCTTACTGGACAAAGGGGTGGGGAACTGGTTTGGCTTCCTGGCTTTGCAGAGAGCAGGGGCCCCCAGTTTCCAGAAGTCAAAGATCTGTGGTGTGCAGAGCTTTGGCAGGCTCCCCTAAAGCCTGGCTGACGCCCAGCCCAAGCCAGGTCCAAACGTCAAGGCAGGGATTACTCTCTTGTGCCAAAGCTTCATCAGCCCTGGCTGGGGCAGGGTCTCCTCATTTCCCAGGGGAAAAGACTGAGAAAGACAACTCTGCCAAGACTTAACCTGCAAAAAGCCGTCCTATCCTATCCCAACAGAAATCAGGAGCCCCACTCGCTCCAGAAGACCCAGCCCAAGACAAAGTCCACCGCCACACCCTCCATTCAGCTCAGGATCCCTCCCTGCAAACACAGGCCCACAGGACTAAAAGATCAAGTGTAAAATCCAAACTGGGTCATCAAGGGAGTGTGGGCACAGAGACTCGGTCCCTCGAGGACCTAGTCCCGGCATGTGGGGGTTCCATGTTCCAGAACCCCATATCCCGTAGGATGTCCTCAGGCACAGGCCCCAGGTATCTGCCCTCTCTCAACCTCACATCTCCTGCTCTGTCCCTAAGCGTCCTCAGTAGACTGGACTGCAGGGTATCAGGAGGCCTGACCCTCACCAAGAAGGAAGCTGAGTGGCAGACACCAGCAAGAGAAAAGACCCAGGAATCAGGGAGATCAAGACGAGAGTTGTGACCCCTGGCAAAGGCTGGGACCCTCTGAGGTCCCCCCAGACCCACCGGTCTATCCAACGAGATGCTAAGCTTTGTTCAGAGAGTTCAGGCAGGGACTGTCCAGTGCTCTCTAGCAGGGGTGGGGGCGGGAGTGCAGCCGTGGGCCCAGATAGCAGTGACCCTGGAAGAACCCCAAGGGAAAGGGGACAGGTGTGCCCTCCTCAATTTCTCTGCCCTTCCTGCTTTCTTGGCCAGGACCAAACTCCCTCCTCTGAGAGAGGCCCAAACAGGAAGTCGTGGTTCTGTGCCACCCATGCCCAGGACAGGGTATGTGGGTGCCAGGCCCCTGCCTACACAAGCGTCCCTGCCCCTCAGCACGCGGGGCCTCTCTATGCCACCTTACCTCCCTCTACTCCCCTTCACCCAGCCATACTGTGGCCAGGCTGACCTTTCCAAGGCTGCCTACTGAGGTCCCACCTCCTCCACCTTCTGCCCCTCGGCTCTGGCTGTGCCTCCAGCCTGAGATGCAGAAATCCAACCTCCTCTCCCCGCATCTGTATGTGTCTAAGCCTGATCAGGCCTGCGAGTCCCCGATGGAGCCTCTCCCCCTCTCTGGGCTTCCCCAACAGACTTTTCCACTTAGAGGACGCCGTCTCCCTCCCCACCTTACTGCTCCCAGGGCTCTGCCTGCATTCTGCCTCCCGGGCCAGCTGGACCTGTGCCTCCCCGAGGCTCAGCTTCTTGGGGCAAGGGCCTCAGTTCCCACCAGTGCTAACCCCTGTCTCTACCCACAGCAAATGCTCAGCAGACACTGATCAGTATATGGAGACAGCCCAGAAGAGGAGCTAAGTGCTCTTACAGCCCTGGAGCCAGTCCTGGATGCCAACCTGCCTCCACCAGTCACTAACTTGTGAGTTGCTGGCTTTGGACAAGGTCTTCCCCCTCTGAGCCTTGCTCAGATCTCACAGTGGTATTATGAGGATTGAATGAGAAAATATATGTAAAGTACTTAGGACAATGCCTATTATGTAATTCATAACACTTATTATTCATATTTGTTAAATAGAAAAGATGAGGGAGGATTGACATTTCCCAGAGGTTTAACAGCCTCCCCGCTGCCCTCCTTCCAATCCCTGTCTCCTAAGTCTGAGGCTTGGCGTGGACTTCTCAGCACCCCCGTGCTATCAGTTTTCCTAAGGTCCTCAGAGACCTTGGGGTGGCCAGATCCAGGGGTGTCCTTCAGTTCTCTTGACTGTCCAGCAGAATTCCAGAGAACAGCCTACCTGCTCCCCCTTGTTCCTGTCCCGGGGCTTCCCAACCACACCTACCCTTCCAGCCACTCCTGTCTCTGTTGCTGGCTCATTGTCCTCTGTCTGATCTTTATGTTTTGGGGGCCCCTCGGGGCTCCATCCTAGACCCCTTCTCCCTACTGCTGAGGCTCGTCAGCACGGCCAAGATGGCAAGAATGCAGACTCAGGAGCCGGACCGCAGGGTTCAAACCCTGGCTCCTCGGGCAGGTTCCTTTACCTTTTCAGTCCTTGGTTTCCATCTGTAAACTTGGGATAATAGTACCACTTATCTCATAAGCTTGTTAAGGGATTAATAAGGTTAATATTTATAAAATGCTTAGAGTGGTACCTGACATACAGTAAGAGCTACGTATGTGTTTGTTAAAGAAATAAATTTTAAAAAATGTTGGGGCACCTGGGTGGCTCAGTGAGTTAAGCGTCTGCCTTCGGCTCAGGTCACGATCCCAGGGTCCTGGGATTGAGTCCCTCATTGGGAGAGCACAAGCAGGGGGAGAGGCAGAGGGAGAAGAAGAAGCAGGCTCCCCGCTGAGCCAGGAGCCCAGTCACTGCCCACCTGCCCACCTGTTTCGTACCCACTCCCTGGCTTCCTGTATGGCAGGCCTCCCGGCCTTTCAGGTTCTCACTCTCTTCTGCCTGTGCACATTCTGCATCTTCTGTGTAGATGACTCCTCCTACTCTCCCTGAATTCACCTAGCTAACATTCATTCATCCTTCCAATCTTACTTCAAAGGCCCCTTCCTCAGGGAAGCCTTCCCTGACTGCCTGGTACAGGTCTGGTCTGGTGCCCCCTCACACACCCCTACAGCACATCTCCTCCACTGCACTCTTCCAGACTTGTACTTTGACATTCGATTGTGTGCTTGTGTGGTTACCACCGGAGGGCAGGAACCTGCTTTTTTGTTTAGTTTTTTTTTAAGTAAGCTCTACACCCAACGTGGGGTTTGAATTCATGACCCTGAGATCAAGAGTCGCATGCTCTCTGACTGAGCCAGCCAGATACCCGCTGTTTTTACATCCTTTTGGATCCCCAGCACTCAGCCAAGTGCCTGGCACATAGGAGGTGGTCAGTACACGAATGAATGGCTGCCTTGGTGGCCGGCAGGCGAGGGAACACAGAAGGCTCACAGTGGGGGCTCTGAGGGCAGCCTCTTATTCTCACGCCCTCCCTAAGGTTGTCACAGTTCAGAGCTGTACCCTGGTCCATGCTTCTCACACAACTCCGGGCCCTCAACGCCGCCTCCTCTGACCAGTCGCACTGTGAAGCTCAGAGCTCTCTGCATACTCACAAGGAACATAGTTCAGTTTCCCGGGGATGGTCTGAGAGTCCTGTGGCTGCCACACCTCCAGGCCTGGGCTGGGACTGAGGGTGCTTTGAGTCGTGCAGAGGGGTCTCTACCACCCACCTCCTTTCTGTGCTTGTAAATTGCCCTCCTGGGTCTCTTAGTGGCTTCCTCCCTCAGGACCGAATGTTTCTCTCCTCCCTCCCTCCCTCCTTCCCTTCCTCCCAAACAGCCTGGCCTAGGATTCTGCTAGGAAGATAAGGTCTGATTCAGCACCTTCCCTGTTTTCTCCCTAGGCCTGACCACCCACAGCTGCAGTTTTAGACCTGGAAAACACAGGGGAGGGGCGCCTGGGTGCCTCAGTCGTTAAGCATCTGCCTTCGGCTCAGGTCATGGTCCCGGGGTCCTGGGATCGAGCCCCGCATCGCGCTCCCTGCTCGGCAGGAAGCCTGCTTCTCCCTCTCCCACTCCCCTGGCTTGTGTTCCTTCTCTCACTGTCTCTCTCTCTGTCAAATAAATAAAGAAAATCAAGAAAGAAAAGAAAAGAAAAGAAAGAAAGAAAGAGAGAAAGAAAGAAAGAAAGGAAGGAAGAAAGAAAGAAAGAGAAAGAAAGAAAGAGAGAGAGAGAGAGAAAGAAAGAAAGAAAGAAAGAAAGAAAGAAAGAAAGAAAGAAAGAAAGAAAGAAAGAAAGAAAGAAAGAAAACAGGGGAAGGCAGGTAAAGGGAAGCCCTGTTGGGCGAAACTGGGGATCGAAGAGCCCCTCCTTCCTAGGGGAGCGTGTCCAGCAGGAGTCCTGCCAAGTCACCTACCCAGGCGAAGGCCACGCAGGTGGGATACATGGGGGAGGAGGCTGGCACAGACGTGTGGTAGCGGCAGAGCATCATCAGGCTGGCCACACCGTTGAGGAAAGAGGCCATGGCAGAAGCTGGCTCTTGGAAGAACAGGAACCGGGAGAAGGGCCACTGAAAACGGAGCACGTGGAGCGGGCTTGAGGGGCGAGCAACCCCCAGCTAGCCCGACCTGCTTCTCCTTGACATGCCACATCAACAGGTCTGCAACCCCCAGCTAGCCCGACCTGCTTCTCCTTGACATGCCACATCAACAGGTCTTCAGCTGGTTCCTTAGCTCTGGACCTCGGCCAGAGCCTCAGGTACCGTCCCTCTTTGGGTCCAGTCCCTAACTGAAGGTCCTCCCTCTGTCCTGGCCAGCATTCCTAGCACTGCAAGCCTGGTCTCTGGAAGACTAGGTGGGCCAGTATAGACGGCTCAGTATGGCCTGGTGGAAAGAGCATAGACTTCCCATCCAGAAAACAGAGGTCCTAATATTTTCCTCCTCTACCACTGACCACAGGCCTCTGAGCCTCAGCTTACTCTGACAAACTGGGGAGAATAATTCTTGCCAACCTCAGTAGTCTAGAACAAGGTCATATTGGATGAAAAAGCACCAGCAGGGGGATGGGGTAACGGGGTGACAGACATTAAGGAGGGCACATGAGGTGATGAGCACTGGGTGTTATATGCAACTGATGAATCACTGAACTCTACATCTGAAACTAATGATGTACTCTATGTTGGCTAATTCAATTTAAATTAAAAAAAAAAAAAGCACTAGCATGACTTGCTGGGCAATCTGAGGGGGTATTACTATTTTAATCCAGACTACTACTGAAGAAGCAAAAGAAAGCATGCTGTGGGGGGTCAGGAAATTCATCCTTGTAGCAAGGTGAACATTCAGCCACCCTAAGAAGTCCAGCACCACTCTCTGAGATCACACAGCTTCCCAGATGTTGTTACTCCAAATCCAGAGCCAAGACACACTGGTTCCATCTGATTATATGAAAACCAGCAGATTCTGAGGATAGGCACCTGCCCCAAACACACACCCATCACCCCATAGCTCAGACTGCTTGACTCAGGGGTATCTTTCTCCTACAACACTATCACCATACACCTACCCTGACCCTCCAACTCACCTTGCCATGGAACTGAGGCACTTTGTGACCTTCCTTGAGGTAGAGGGCAACAGTGACCCACATACACTCATACTTACAGTCGTCCTGACAGGTCCAGCCTGAAACAGAGAAATGGGACCTGGTGAACTCCCATCATGGGAGGCACAGAGAGAGCTCAAATGGGACCCAAACTCAAACGCAGGCTAAGAGGGCCTGCAGGTTGGAGAGAACCAGATGAAATCTCAAAATTCTAACTTCCCACTTGGATCTATGAGAGATGGTAGGCCACACACATAAAGGAAAGGTGTGTGTGTGTGTGTGTGTGTGTGTGTGTATTTTAGGGGATGGGGGTGTGCAGTGAGCAAACAGAGATGTTTCTTCTCTTCTTCTTCCACCGAGATGGGAACTTTGGCATCTGACAGACTATCAATGGATAGGTTGGTTTAAGTTTGCTCTTGCTGAACTTAAGCTTTGCTCTCACTCGCCAGGGAGGAACTCTTGCCATCTTACCCCCCTCCTATGAAAATGAAACCCAAATTCTTCACTCTGACTTGTGAGTCCCCAGATTGCTTTTCCAACTTTATTTCCCTTACTCCCACCCTGCACCCTGCTCCCTGAGTAAACCAAGCTACTGGAGACGCTCACATCTGCCCAGGGCCTCCATTCTCTCTGTTCCCTCTGGAATGCAAAGGGATAGTAAAGAGCACAAACTTGTAGTCAGACGGGCCAGAACTGGAAACTCCACTTTACCACTTTCTGACTATGTGACTTAGGGCAGGGCACTTAACCTCTCCAAGTTTCCCCATTGTAAAATTGGGTAAAAGGAAACTTAAAGGGCTGTGAAAATTACCCAACCTACTGTGACACCTGTCACACACCGGGGACCACTATGGCCAAAGGTCCAAACTTAATGTATCCATCCTGAAGCCCTTCTTTCACAGAATATCCCAAGATGATCACTGCTCCTGCCCTCTCAAAGCCGGAAACGATTCCTTCCTCCCCCATATGCTGCGATTGCTTGACCTAAGGGGACTTTAGGACTCAGATCATCCTCTCCCTTGGGCTAGAGAAGGCTAATGTCCCCGTGAAGACTGTGGACCCTAATGGCAGGACACTGGGTCCAATTTCAGTGTCATTCTACAGCCAGTACCCTGGAATATTAAATAAATACTAATTGAATAAATAAAAAGTAAGTAAAACTGGCTGATGCTGCTCTAATCACCCTGGGGCTCCGTTCACACTCACAACGGGGAACGACAACGGGGAAAACGAAAGTTTAGAGGTGGTTTAGGGGCGCAAGGGGAGGGGCCAAGGCTGAGGGGCGGGGCTTGCCGCGGGGTGGGGCTTACCTGCTAGACTCATGTAGATTGGCTGGCGGGAGCGGAAGTGCCTCAGTGCGCCCCCCGAGCAGTTCCGCTCCTCGCACCGGTGCACGCAGTCGCGGTACACCGGCTCGCGGTCGCCCTGGGAGCCGCTTGCTAGCGCGGCTGCCCCAGCTAGCAGCACCAGCCGCGCCGTCCGCCCGGCCATCCCTTCAACCTGGCCCTCCGCCGGCGGAGGAGCTTAGGAGTCTTCACTTCCGGAGTAACCGGAAGTGCCTTGTGTTCTCTCTTCTGCTCTCCGGTGACGTCCACCCACTTGAAATAAAAGTGCCCGGATTTCTGTGGGCGCCTGCCCCGCCCCTCGTCTTGCTGTCATCTCCGTATATCGAGGCGACAGGGCTAAGGAGCAAAATAAACTGGTCTTTTATCAACATGTGTCCTCTTTCTTCTCCATGCTCTCTTTATTGGAAGTACGGTTATTTTTCTGTCACCAGCCCCGTCGAATTTCGCTTCCTAATATACCTGGAACTGCCCACTTGTCTCCATTTCCATTGGCACCGCCCTGGTTAAAGACATCATCATCTGTCGCCAAGACAGTCGCGGTAGCCCCTTCACAAGTCTCCCTGCCCCTACTTTTGTCCCCATCGACTCTGCGTTCCGTTAACGAAGGACCGCGTGACTTTTCTTCTTAAATTCTTTACTGGCTCCCAATTACCTCAGGATAAAATCCACAAACCCTGCACGATCTGGTCCCTGCGCCAGACCCAAGGGGCCATGTTTCTCAACCCTCCTGGCTTTGCCTCGTCTGTATCATTCATACTCTCACGCCTGCTTATTCTTCTAGCCTCAATTTAAACACCATTTCTGAGGGTGGTAACACCTGGAGGGTGATGTAAGATAAAAGTGGTATGTTTTCCCCAGGCGGGGTGGGGACCTCTGCTGTCTTGTTTACCACTCTACTTGAAGCCTAGTACAGAATTTGGCTCATGGTAGGTGCTAAGAACTCATTTCTTTCTTTCTTTTCTTTTCTTTTGTCCTTTCTTTTCTTTCTATGAATGAACAACATTAATTCAACGTAAGAATTTGGGTGCTAAATCCAGGGCTGTCAAATCACCAAAGTGATACAGACCACACTGAGATAGGAGAGGTGTAATATTTCAAAGAAAATCAAGAAGAGGACCTTTGGGAATAGGATACTTGCTCTAATATCCATCCCCTCCTCCCTACATCACCACCAGGACAAACACACACGCATACCCATCTCATTGAAGCATTGAAACCTTGTAGCTAGATGCTTAATTAGTGTGTGTAGATTAATGACAGCTTTTCCTCCTCTCCCACTCTCCACCCCGGGTCAACTTTTCCTTTTTACATTGAGAAGTAGAATGAGCAAGAAGTAAAATTGGATTCCATTTACTTACTCATTTAGCAAACATTTCCTGAATTCTTAGCTCTAGCACCATGCTAGGCAAGACACAACTCCAGGAGGCACCATTCATATTATATTTCCTGTGAATAGCGCTCAGGAGTGCACCATCCACATTGTATTTTCCGTGAATGGTTCCTCTTCAAGTTAAATATAACATGAATAGTATCCCCTGGAGTTGAACATCCAGTTGATAATGACTGGGAAGCTGAAAGGAACAAAACAACCACTCAGCTCTCCAGGAGCTGACCAGAAGCAATTTAGTGCTAATACTACTTTGCATCTGATTGATCAGTCCTTTTCTACTACATTATTTCATTTTGTCCTTACTATAATTCTGGGATCAAATTTTTAATGAGCATCCTCATTTTGTCTAAGATTTTATTTATTTAGTTATTTATTTGAGAGAGAGAGCATGAGCACAAGTCAGGGGCGGTGGGGGGGGGGGCGGGCAGAGGGAGAAGCAGACTTGCCACTGAGCAGGACCTGAGCCAAATGCAGACACTCAACTGACTGAGCCACCCAGGAGCCCCATTGAGCATCTTCATTTAAAGATGAGGCAATTTTTTTTTAAAGATGATTTATTTATTTATTTGACAGGGAGAGACACAGCGAGAGAGGGAACACAAGCAGGGGGAGTGGGAGAGGGAGAAGCAGCCTTCCCACTGAGCAGGGAGCCCGACGACGCGTGGCTCGATCCCAGAGGATCATGACCTGAGCCGAAGGCAGACGCTCAACCGACTGAGCCACCCAGGTGCCCCAAGATGAGGCAATTTAAGGGTGCCTGGCTGACTCAGTCGGTAGAGCATGCGACTCTCTTTTTTTAAGATTTTATTTTTAAGTCATCTCTACACCCAACGTCGGGCTTGAACTCACAACCCTGAGATCAAGAATTGCAGGCTTGATGTAAATTTGAGCTCTACGTTGGGTGTAGAGATTGCTTAAAAATAAAATCTTTTTTTTTTTTAAGATTTTATTTATTTATTTCAGAGAGAGAGAGTGAGCAAGCGGGCAAGCATGAGCAGGGGAAGAGGCAGAGGGAGAAGCAGACTCCCTGCTGAGCAGGGAGTCAGATGTGGGGCTTGATCCCAGGACCCTGGGATCATGACCTGAGTCGAAGGCAGAGGCTTAACCGACTGAGCCACCCAGGTGCCCCAAAAATAAAATCTTAAAAAAAATGAGGAAATTTAGAATAAAAGAGGATAAAATCCTAACAAAGCAGGATTCTCCCTTTGAGAGAACTCCGAGGTAGAGATAGGGCTCTTTTAAAAAACTTTAAGTTTCTGATTTTGGAGGCCTCACCCTATATTACATCAAACATTAAAAACAAAGGGAAGGGCGCCTGGGTGGCTCAGTTGGTTAAGCGACTGCTTTCGGCTCAGGTCATGATCCTGGAGTCCCGGGATCGAGTCCCGCATTGGGCTCCCTGCTCGGCAGGGAGTCTGCTTCTCCCTCCCGCTCCCCTCTCTTGTGCTCTTTCTCTCTCTCACTCTCTCTCTCAAATAAATAAATAAAATCTTTAAAAAAAAAGGGAAAATGTAAAAAGAACAATTTCAGGTAGTCACACGTGTGGTGTTATATAATTGGATAATGTAAATCGGGAGAGGCCCTAAGGGAATGGGGAGGGAGGAGAAGGCTACTTTGGGTCGGGTGGTCAGGGAAGGACTTTTTGAGAAGGTGACATTTGAGCTGAAACTTATGTGACCAGAAGGAACCAGTCCTGCTAACACCTGGGGGCAGATTGTTCTAGGCCAAGGAACAGCCGGTGCAAAGGCCCTAAGGCAGCAACAAATTTGGCATCTCTGGAAAACAGAAAAGAAGCTCTTGTGGCTAGAAGGCTATGAGATTGAAGTGACAGCCAGAGACTAGATTCTGTCAGGTCTTGGGTCACAGTCAAGAGTTTAGGCAATGGGAAGCCATTGCGAGATGTTTTAGCACTCGAACAAATGAAACTATGTTTAAAACATTTACTTTGGGGCGCCTGGGTGGCTCAGTCGGTTAGCATCTGCCTTCAGCTCAGGTCACGAACCCAGGGGTCCTGGGATCGAGCCCCGCATTGGGCTCCCTGCTCAGCGGGGAGTCTTCTTCTCCTTCTCCCTCTCCCTCTGTGTTCTCTCTCTCTGTCTCTCTCTCTCTCTCTCAAATAAATAAATAAAATCTTTAAAACAACAACAACAACAACAAAAATCATTTACTTTGGCTGCCAAAGGAAAAGGAGGGGGGTAGAATTGAAAGAGGGGAAGAGCAACACGTAGGAGATCAGAGGCTAGTGCTTTCACCCAGAGAAGACCTAACAGAGGTTTAGGTGGTGGTGGAGGCTGGAAAAGCACAGATGTATTGGAAGAGGAATCCATAGATCTCAGAGAACGACTGGATGTAAAAGGCAAAAAGAAGAATCATGAACATGGGTCCAGGAATGAAATCATCTGAAACTGGAATTGTCTCCCCAAATAGGGACTTAGTGATTGCCACAGTCTTATGCTTCTGGAAACTTCCTGGCCTTCTCTTCCCCAGATTAAAAGCCAGAGGCAAGAGTGTCCCCATTCACACCCCAGGAGTCTGGATCGCCAGCAGCAAGCCAGGGGAGTCTGGAGTCCTGAGGGCTGAGTAGAGTAGGAAAACTCAGTGTTTGTGAAACAAAGAATCTGGAATCTGGCAGAGGGATGGCTCAATGGGGCTTTCAAGGGGTAAGCATGGGGTTGAAGGAGTCACTGCTCCCACACTGAAGTCTAAAACACTGTGACCAGGAACTATTCAATCCACCTCTCTCATATGTCAAATGGCAAAACGAAGCCTTATTCAAGACCACACAGCCCAGGCCCTACTATCTGAGGAAAGATCCCTAGATAAACTGAGGGTGTGTGAAATGGCCAGCACAAACGCACAGACAGTACAGGACACAGGAACACAAACCATGGCAGTCTTGTATGGGCAGGATGGAAGCCTTGTGTACTTCATGCATTAAAGCCAGGTAAGGCTGTGTGCATAAGAATGCTTTCTTGTCTTGGCAAAGCAGCCTAGAGAGAGAGAAAGGCAAACTCCCCAGGCCTTGGGCCTGCATTCCTGAGATGGGATGAGAAGGGCTGAGGGAGGTGATCAGCAGGCCCAGGGTCAGCATGCCTGGTATGTTGGTTTGGGCTCTGCTCTTTTCTACTCAGGGACTAGGGCTAATCCTGGGCCCAGGGAGCAGCCTCCTGGTGGTTAGGTAGCAAGTGTTCTTAAAAGGCCACCTTCAGAAGGGCAGATTTTCTTTCTTTCTTTCTTTCTTTCTTTCTTTCTTTCTTTCTTTTTTTCTTTCTTTCTTTCTTTTTCTTTCTTTCTCTTTCTTTCTTTTCTTTCTTTCCTTTCTTCCTTCCTTCCTTTCTTTTTATTTATTTATTTTTAAAGATTTTATTTATTTATTTGACAGAGACATAGCGAGAGAGGGAACACAAGCAAGGGGAATCGGAGAGGGAGAAGCAGGCTTCCCCGCGGAGCAGGGAGCCCGATGTGGGGCTCGATCCCAGGGTCCCGGGATCACGACATGAGCCGAAGGCAGACGCTTAACGACTGAGCCACCCAGGCGCCCCCCTTTCTTTCTTTTTAAAGATTTTATTTATTTGACAGAGAGAGAGAGTGCGCACAAGCAGGGGGAACAGCAGGCAGAGGGAGAGGGAGAAGCAGGCTCCCCACCAAGCTGGGAGCCTGATGCAGGGCTCAATCCCAGGAACTCAAGATCATAGCCTGAGCAGAAGGCAGATGCTTAACCGACTCAGCCACCCAGGCGCCCCTAGAAAGGCAGATTTTCTTATGAGAAGCTTCCAAATTCCACTCTGCTATGGCCCCAGGGAGGCCTTGTGCCTACTCTTGGGGGACTCCTTCCATGTAACTAATTCACACAGATGGTTCCCCAGCAACTCATGCCCCAGACTCAAGGCCCTGTGGGGTAGGCCCCAGTTTGTGGCCTGAACCTCGGACTGTGGACCGTCTCCTCCCTTTTTCTGTTTGTTTTCAGTCCTCTGACCCCAGGTTGGCTGGTGAGGTAGGCAGAAGGGAGGAGACTCTGGTGCCAACACATGCACACGTGGCCTCCTGTGTCCCCCAGTCTCAGTGGCTGGTCAATGATTGACTGGCATTTCACAGGCTGCTGGTTTCAGACCCCAGCCTGTTGACCCTCAGAGGTCACCTCCCTAAGCCAGAGCCCCCAGCGGTCTGGCCCTACACTTCTACCACCCACAGGCCCAGTACCTCCTCCAGAGGATTTCGTGCATCTGCCCTCTGCCCCTCGTTGGCTCTCCTCTGCCCTGCAGTTGCCCCTCTCCTCCTGCCTCCCTCCCCGCAGGCCCCTCACCGGACCCTTCTGGCAAACTCTCAGGCTCCTCCAGCAGCCCCCTCCCTTCCCCCCTGAGGCCCCCCTCAACCTCTGTCCCTTAGACATCCTCTTCCCTTGGCTCTCCCGCCAGGCCCTGCTGGAGGGGCTGTTGAGGGGAGAAGCGAATCAGCAGCGCCCACCCCTGCCCCCCTTCCCCGCCTCTTGTCAAACACCAGACAAGGTTTTTTCCCCTTCCTTCCCGGCTCTGAATGGGCTCATTCTCTTTGGAAGACTGGCCCCTCTCGAGCCTCCTCCCCAGGCGTGAGTTCTGACCCCGCTCCTCCCCCATCCTCACTCCCGGCCCGCCGCCGCCGGCCCCGCCTTCTCTGGGCAGCCCACTGGGACTGAGCATTGTCTCCACAGTTTTTGTTTTTGTTTTTTTCCCCCCTGGGATCTGGGATGCGGAGAGGGTGTGCTTGTTGGCTGGGTGGGAGTTAGGGAGTGGGAGGGCATGGGATCTTTGTGGGGGAAGGACTGGTAGTTACCCGGATATCTTGGAGAGCACTTCTCCGGCTCCTCTGGTGGGGGCGGGGGGGGAGGGTGGGTTCATGGTACCCTTTATTCCCGGCTCTGGAGCAGAACACATGAAGCTAAAACCTTCTGGCTCAGTTTCCCTTAGTTCCCTTGGAATTTCAGGGTTCCTTTTATGCAAAATGGGGAAAGATAACATCCTCCTCTGACATCCCAGGACTCAGCGACATGAGGAGTGTGGCTCCAGGACAGACAGGGGCATGGAGGATGGGTCCAGTAAAGGAGGTTCTACAGCAGCTTTCCTGGATGGACAAACCCTCCTAACACCAGGGCACTGGAGGGTAGGACCTGGGGGAGAAGGGACATCTCTAACACTGACCCTAACACCCTGATGGTCTCTTTTTTTTTTTTCTTAAACATCACAAATAAGATTTTTTATTTGTCACCATTAAATGTCTGAATTTTAAACAGATTCTTGGACTGGTGGCTCATATCCATCAGCCCGTTCAACTTTAGCACCGGTCTCATCCCCAGTAGCTTTTCCAGAACTACTACCTTCACCATGAAGCTCCATGAGCTTTCCCAATTCAAATTTGGGCTTCTTCAGCGTTTTTACTTTTCTAACGAAGACATCGTGGAGTGGATAAATAGACTGACAAGCCTTTTCTATATCTTTTCCGATGCTGTCTGGAATCAATTTATTGACCATTTCTTTCAAGTCATTTGTTTGCACCTCTCGGGTCATGAGTTCCATCATCTTTTTCCAAATTTGATGGACCTGTTGGTGCTGAGCATAAGAGGTCTTCCGAATCTGATTATTGTGTTTTTTAGTAAAACCAACACAAAACAGGTGAAGCAAATGACCATCGGTAGTCTTGACATCAACATGACCTTCAATCATGGCCTGCCATTTTTTGACCATGGAAGCACATTTTGTCACGGGTAAGATCCATGCCATGGAAATTAGTCAGGCAGTTTTTGCCCTGAACACCCTCAGTAATTAGCTTGAATTTTCTAAACGCAACTTCATCATTCTGCAGATCAGCAAGGCTTACTTCAAAAACACGACCCTTGAGGCCATCAGATGCAATTTTGGTTCCTTGAGTTCTTGTGACTGATGTTTTTTCAATACTTCTTATATTGAACATAGCCGGTGCTTTCACATCATACCAATCTTTCTTAGAAAATGGATCAACCACTTTCTTCTTGGCTCCCTTTTTGCCGCCTTTCGTTAGGTGCTTGTTCTTGCCGACCGCCATGGCTCAGGGAGCCAAAAGGCCTGATGGTCTCTTGAAGAGCGAGTCCTCCAGTGTGTTCAGCGAGTGACTGTTGGAACCAGGTCCAATGTCTCCTCTCCCTGAGGGCTGAGAGGCACCTTGACTAGGTCCCTGGGTTTGGGTTTGTGATAGGTGAGGGTGATGGACTGGTTTTGGCTATCTGTTCACCTTTTCCCTCATTAGCCCTGAGACAGATGCTCCTGGGCAAATTGGTTAACTCACGTGAGTGTCTTCTCCTTGATCCCATCCTCACACCAATCAACTCCAACTCTAAGGCTAGAGAAAATAGGGGTGTTGATGCCCATCCTGAATGGCTGCTGTGGTGTCGCCCCACACAGCAGTATTTCTTGAAAGTTTGAGACTATTATCCAAGGAATAAATCCATCGTATATCATCCACCCAAGACACACATACCCTTACCGACACTAATATGTGATGAGCACGATTTCTATTCCATTCTATTAAAAAAAAAAGACTTGTCTTGATCATCTAAATTGGTTTGATGACCGACCTTCCAAGAGAACCTAACCTGAAGTTTGCACATTGCTAGTTAGAGCCAGCGGTGGACTCTTACCATGGTGTTCAAGAAGGGTAAGGGGAGCCTGGGTGGCTCAGCTGTTAAGCGTCTGCGTTCGGCTCAGGTCATGATCCCAGGGTCCTGGGATCGAGCCCCGCATCGAGCCCCGCATCGAGCCCCACATCGAGCCCTGCCTCGGGCTCCCTGCTCAGCGGAAAGCCTGCTTCTCCCTCTCCCACTCCCCCTGCTTTTGTTCCTTCTCTCTCTGTCTCTCTGTCAAATAAGTAAATTAAAAAAAAAAAAAAA